TCTTTAAGAGAACGAAATTTCAAAATTATAGGCTAGTTTTATTTGATGATTTACTACTTTATCAAGTCAATACACGCTTGACTCTTGGCCTTAAGAATTTTATTTAAAATGATTTTAAGTACTACTACTAATGAATAAACTAAACATATTGTTAACTAATATTCTTTAGTTAGTGCAATTAAGTTTTGAAAAAAAATGAAAGTTAATTTTAGCAGAAACATATTTGAATAATTTTAACGAGAGTAATTTTTCGTCCCAACCAATTGTTAAGTTTCCGTTTTAATTTGTGGAAATGTTTTGTAAAATTAGAGTCGTAAATGTTTTATAGGTTTTACTGTGAGACACATATAAGCAACAAAAACGAAATTTTTTTTTTAATTGGATAATATGTATTCAGTATTTTCTAGCTTCAGCTACCTTTTTTATTCAAATAGGTAATATTAGGAGCATATAATTTTTTTTGACAACAATTGATGAGTGCTGTTTCGTTTATTTCTTCAGACAATGACTGCAAGCTAGAGCAGTTTCCCATCATTTTTTTATTTTTATTTTATCATAGTATATGAAATCAACCGTAAAACAGGTTAGCATTGTCTTAATATATTCGCCATATTGTATTTTAAATTTTAATTCTTTTCAATATCCATTAAAACCTAGAAAATTGATTGTATACACATCTTTAAACTCTTAAACATTAACAACTATCACTTACTGCTATTTTTTTTATTTGTTTTATTATAATATTTCGTACAAATCATCTCAGTTTATTTTACGTTCACAAATAGAAAAATAAAATAACAAAATAAATTTTAATAAATAAAACAAACTTTGCAGATTCATAAATTTTTCTGACTTTTCGTCAATGTTTAACAATAAGTCTTTTCGATTATATTAAATTAGAAAAAATGTTTAGCATTAATAAGAAAACGGTTGATTAAATTGTTTTATTAGTTTTAATCAGAATCCAATTTTCAAGGAAAACGTCACATCAATAATTTATTTCCGTCCAAATTGTGTTTGACCCAGAAAATGTGGATTAGCAGGTGCAATTCCTTTTTTTGGAAAAAACCGAACTCCAACAAATACCAGTCTTTTTCTCTCTGCAATTCAAGAAAAGATCCGCCTTCCTCATAAATATTCATCCTCAAATCAGATATCTCTGCAAATAAAGTTCAAATGATGTCCAATAAACATTATCCTTGAAAAGGATATACATTAAAGTAAAATGTCCAGTTCCATTCAATTGAAGTACCAACAATAAATTAAGGAGCATTATTTGAATAGTGATATGCTGCCGGAAAAATTACTATTTTTATTGTTAATATTTTTTTTATGAAAATAGAATAGCAAGGTAAGTTTGATTTTTCTATGTTTAATTCAAAACTTACTTATGCATGCACCCGAAAAGTAAAGAATATTAAGTGTTGTTTACGCCCAGCACTGAGCTGACAATTTCGTAAAACAGTTTCAGTAAATATTAGGGTTGATCAAAATAAAGGAATCGTTTCTTCACTAATCATACGCAAAGAATTTTTCTTTCAGCCGCAATATTTTAGAAGCTTTTACATGGCAAATTTTTTTAAATCCTAATTTGAAAATCGCGCTTGAAGCTCTTATATCATTTTTATCCATGCGGATGGAACAAAATGAGCGTTAGAGCTTTTCCCGGTGATTTCCACCTAGGAATGTTGACAATCACATCATCATTTTGGTAAGTGCTTGAAATATGATAGATATAGTTAAGTGCCACTGCCTGGTATGCACTTGCCCGGTATGCCTTACATCAATGTTTTCTTAATATTCAGTGCCGCTGCCCGGTATAAATTGCCCTACACTGATGTTTTTTAAGCTAAGTGCCACTACCCGGTATGCATTTAACCGGTACTCATAACCCTGATGTTTCTCTTAATCTATCCTTTGCAGATATTAAAATATCGAATAAATATAATAACATCAATGAAAAATCAATAACACATCGGATATAACAAATATTTTGGACATTCACCAAACCGACTGTGTGATTGTTGACATTCACCGGGGAAATCGGACATTCCCTTGATTTGATAATTTACGGTAATATTTTCACTGCATAAATCCTCTCTGTAAACAAATATATTGTATTAAACAGTTGTGCAAGTTATGTATCTTTTTACAAAATATTAATTAAGGAAATAAAAAAAAATTGTTTACTGTATACTTTTACTTCAATTTTTTTTGTAATGAATATTTTAAAGTTCTCGCTCTAAAACGTCTGCATCTCATTGAAACAAAGGAAATGTGTTTGAACTATTTTATATGGGATTTAATGGAAGGGAAATTTTCCCCACTGTTCAGTTGAAAGGGAAAACTTCGCTATTGACAGTTTTCCCTGTTAATTTCAGCAGTGATTTGACTTTTGGGGTAATGGCGTATTTCCGAACAGTGTATGAGGAAATGACCCTTGATGACCACCAATCTTTTTCATTGAAGATTAATGTAGTTTTATTGAGGACTTCTAATCGAAAATCCCATGGCAATTTATTTACGGTCATTGGTAATTGGAAAAGTACGTACCACAAAGGCTGCCAACTTGTTACGCTTTTTGTAAAAATGTATTCTAGTGGTAGATAAGTTAATGTGTAAATGCAATTTTTTTTTTAAAAATTTAAACTTATTTTCCTAGCCACTACCTATAAATGATTTAAAAGTTCATGGGCAACGCCAGTTTTTCCCCTGCTCTTTCGTGGCAAAACTTTTAAAGCTTTGGGTGGATTGCCCCTTTGATCAGCCAGCGTAGGGACCGAGAGTGCACGGTTTCGTTCCTCGTTAAACTGTTTTACCGTAAAGTGCTCGATTTAGCGAGTACGTCATCGTACTATCAAATCAGGGGAGCCATCCCCTCTGAGGATCAAAATTGCGATGGCATGTCTTAGGATCATCCTCAGGGATGTTTCCCAGACCGTCACCAATACCCCACTTTCCAGCTCTAGTGTGACTTAAAGTACCTACCTGAACGCTTTGGCATTTCAATGTCTACCACTCTATAAAATATTTTATAAAAAGCGTAGTAATAGGTTGACCTGAAACCGGTTTGAGCCTTTTAAAGCCTCAGATGATTAACCCCTCTAATGCAAGTTTCAGTTTTTATGTCTCTATCACTTTTGAAGAAATCAAAACTAAATCTTTTGAAGAAAGGGGACTGGCCGATATGCTATTAATATATTGCAAACGAGTCGCGTAAAAATAAGTTTCTGAATTTTCTACGATCCATACGAAAGTTTAAAAAGTTTTTTTCTTTTCTGCTATAAATCCTAATAGGTCTGGAAAAAAATGTTAATTTATTACATAATTAAATTTAAAAGAAGAAGAAAAATCTTGTCACCAAGTTTCTGATTAAGAGAAAATTCAAAATGATACGTAACAAAATTATTTGCAAATTTGTTATATTATATTTGTTATTGATAAAGTTGCGGCCCGCCATTTGACTATTGTTTTTAATCGTGGCCCCCGGCTTCATGTAACCCCTGGCATATGTGATACCCCACTTTGTTTCTGTCAAGTAAAAACAGATCCTTTAAATTAAAATAAACTATATTTTCTCACCCAATAGAATAATAAGAGCCGGGATTACCCAGGGTAGTATTCTCTGAGAAATATTATATATAATTTACACCTATTAGTTTCCTATCGATATAGATGACTATAACAGACTTACTGCTTATTTTGCAGTGGATACAGGGGTTGTAGTCAAATTTAGATTTGCTACAAATGCTATTAATAAATAACAGACCAAAATACATGACTTTGAAACCTGGTGTTCTAACTGGAAGGTCGAAATTAATGCCCAAAATTCAAACCTACTTTTTATTTTTTTTATTTTTTATAACCGTCATTGAACAGCCAACCCAGTTTTTGGGTTTACTACTACTAATGTTCATCTCCGTAGACTTGTCATTTTAAACCCAATCCAGAAGACAATTGAACTCCTGGATCAAGTATTGAGAGAAATTGGCCTTCGCGGAGGACTTTTTTAAAAGATCAAACCCGCATTTGCGTTACATGGAGAGGAAGACCACGAGAACCTCCCATGGTCAGCCTGACTGCAAATTGACTCTAACCCATGAACCGCCTACCACTGAGGATATTTTATGTCAACACTGTCGTCGATGCAAGCCGGAACCTACTCATGATTTAAAAAAAAAAAACTTAGACGACTTACTATTAACAATACATTAATTTTCTTTGGAAATGATATTTCTCTTGTTGATAAGGCCACTTATCAAAAATTTTAACTGGAATGACTATGTTAAGAAAATAACAGCTAAAGCCACTGGAATGTACAATAAATTAAAATGTCTACTAGGTCCCTACTCCAAAATGTCACTTAAAATCAAACAATACCTTACATATATCAAACCTATAATTACTTATGCATGCTCTGCCTGGTGCAATTACAGCAATGTAAATATTAACAAACTTATTGTGTTCCAAAATATATAACTAAGAAAAATGCTAGGAGTCAAAGGAAACAAAGTTATACACATAGATTTTAAAAAATAAAAATACCCTCACTGAAACTTTAATCACACCTAACAATTTTATTAAAAAAAAGCACAAAAATGTTCTGCCGCAAACTACAACAACGTTTTTAAAGAAGAAATGCTTATTGAAGATTTCAAAATCAGTCCCCCAGAGCCCATTTTTTCTCTAGCAACGCTATTTAATCAGATAAATTCAATTAATTCTTAACTATTTTTGATTTTTTTTGATACTTATAATTTAATATATATATTTAAATTATAACGCTGCAAGTGACTGCATTGCAGTATTTTCTCTAACTGTTCATAATTCTGATTTTTTATTGGTGCAGCTATTCCGCAAATGGCGTTGCAATTGCAGCAAATAGTTCTAAATTATTTTCAGTTTTTTTTCTATATCGTGGTTATTTTTCCTTTTCCTTTTCTTTCTGTTTTCAAAACTCATGATGAAAATTACTTTACAAATCAAGATGAAAAGTTAAAATGTGCCTTCATGACCTAAAAGCCTTGAGCAATAATATGACTATGACTATCAAGCCTCCTAAAAAGTTGGCAGAAGTAACCGAAAATCAGCAAAATTTTAGTTTCTAGTTGTCTACCTGTTTTTAAAATATTTTGTCGAATTCCGGAACACAGTTGGCATTTCTGATATATAAGAATAAAATTTTCTTCGAAAGCCGGGAGATTTGGCAGTGATGAAATAGTCTTTATCCCAAAAATGGAAAGAAAAAAGTTTTAGATCGAATTTTTTTAGCATTTAGTTTCCCGAACTAACATTTTGCAATAATGAAAAAGGTGGAAAAAATGATTAAGTTAAGTAGAAATTATGGAAAAAGTTATGGAACATTTAATCTACTGTTTCATCACTGTTACCTACAAATTGTGGTAAAAAATTATGAGAAGTGCATTTTTTCAGAAAAAGATTTTATATTAAATTTTTTTGGAAAACAGGAATGTCTTGTTTATCCAAGATAAATGCTAACAATGAAATAATTAGGATATTAGTCTATATCTTTTAGAAAAAGCGACATGTTCTAAAAATGGGACATCATACGATTAAAACATAATCTCTTGCGTTTTAAAACAAAATTTTGCTACCAGTTAATGCAAAAGCTAACTTAAACTAAAAGCACTAAAATGTGAGAGCATACTCAAAGAAATTACAGGAGGCAGGAATTACTCCTGTCAACTAAAATTTACTAAATTTCCTAAAATTTACTTAATTTACTAAAATTTACTTAATTTATTAAAATTTACTTAATTTACTAAAATTTACGGCTTAAGACGTTTATTGGTGCCAAACTTCTGTGAGATTTTTTTTCTGTTTTAGAGCATGACCAAAGAAGAGGAGGCAGGAATTACTCCAGTCAACGCAGATGATTCAACTTGGATTTTGACTGCTTCGTTTGTGATATTCACAATGCAGACTGGTATTTAACTTTCTTTGGAAGTATTTTTTAAAAAAAAATGATTCATATAAATTTAATGTGAATCGAATCTTAATGCAATATTTTCATTAATTCTTTTTTTTTTCTAGCACATTTAGTGTTAATGCCTAAATTAAATTTATTTCCATGACTTTCGAGACTTTTGTATATTTTATGATTTCAAGTTACATACAGACCCATGGTCCACCAAAATTTTCAAACTGGTCCAAAATTAGTAATACATACCATGAATTTAAAAATTGATCATTAAATTTTTCTTTGATCACCACACATATTTGGAAACTTTTTTGAATTGCTAAAAGTCTGATACATGCTTGATGAATATTATTCAAATTGAAGTGGTTGCGAATTTAAGGAAACTTCCAATGGCTTCGATTTGCAACTTGCTACCTTGGAAGTCGAGTACAGATATATTTTCCTTACAAAATAACATATTGTAGTAGTAATAAATTTATGGAATGATCGAGAATTGTCTCATTTTCATTTCTTTCAAGAATTTTTTCACCTGTGGAAATCAAGATTGGTATATACGAAGCTATGACTAACTTGACAATATCATTCTCTAAAATCTTGGTCTACCAAAAAAGATATTTAAATACTGATTTCTTAATGTCAGTTAATGTAGTTGATGTCAACTTCCAAAACTTGTAAACTTAAGACCTAAGGTTGAATAACTTAAACATGAAGAATTAGAGCATTTATTAAATTTAAAATACAGTGAGCAAAAAAAAAAAACCCACTCTGAATAACTTTTGATCTAATGATCGGATCTTCGCGTTCATCGAGACTGTATCTTAATGGCTCGAGTCGGTAACCTCAAATCTGCTAATTAATAAGAGCAAACGATATTTTAATTTACGAAATCAGAAACAAAAACGTAATTTCTCTAAGCATACATACTTTTCTTTGAACGGATTCAGACTTTTGCCCCCCCCCAGAATATAGGGGATAGCCGCAATCTGGAAATTATGGTCCCAATAGTTTGATCAGGAAAGGGCTCAAAAGTTTGAACCCTCTTAGTGTTAATTTTACTTTTTGTGTATTTTGTTATATCTCAAGAACTTTTTAATAGAATTAAAAAAAATTTTACACACAATTATAAGATTCATTTATCCACAGACAATTCCATGCAAAAAATAAACTTTATTAAATATTTATTATCTTTTGTTCTTTTATTTAAAAGTAGTCGGAAAAAAATTAGATTGTAAGGTATACAAATTTTTGCATCATTTTAAAGAATATATTTTTACACGGTAAAATACAAAATTTGAGTAAAATCGGTAATATTTGTAAGAGTAAAATTTAATTATCTTTACAGGATTTAGACTTTTAGAATCTGGTACTGTTTCCAAAAAGAATCAAGTTAATATTTTTTAGAATGTATCCAATTATCTTTACAGGATTTGAATTTTTATGATCTCATGCTGCTCCCAAAAATATAATGTAATTAATACTTTTTAGAATGTATCCAATTATTTTTTACAGGTTTCGGACTTTTAGAATCTGGTGCTGTTTCCAAAAAGAATGAAGTTAATATTCTAATGAAAAACGCCGTTGATGTGGTTCTGGGCGGACTTTCTTACTGGATGTTCGGTTACGGTCTTGAATACGGTACAGGACCAGGAACATCTGCCTTCTGCGGGGTTGGTTTATTCATGGTAGATACCGAAGACAACGATGGTGGTGTCTTCGCTACTTTCATTTTCCAGTTATCTTTCGCTACAACTACTACAACTATAGTATCAGGTGCAATGGCTGACTTCAATGCCTACATATTGTTTTCTTTTGTCAACACCATCACTTACTGCATACCAGCCGGTTGGATGTGGGGTGACCATGGCTTCTTGAAAAAATTAGGAGATTTTGCCGGTTCATGTGCTGTGCATTTAACTGGAGGTGCCCTTGTGGCGGCTAGTATGTTAAAACCGAGACTACACAGATATGATCAAAGTACTGCATCATTAGCTATGGGTGACCCACGAAATGCTATAATGGGACTGTTTACTTTGTGGTAAGTTGTGATAATGAAATTGTATGCTCTGGAAATTGTAAAATTGAAGTGTAGTTCAAGAATCCACGCAGTATTTTATTTTATTTAATAACCGTCGTTGAACAGCCGACCTTATTTTTTTGCGTTTACGACTACTTAAGATCAACTCCATAGCCATGTAATTTTGAACCCATTCCAGAAGACAAGGGATTTCTTAACTCAAGTATTGGGAGAAATTTGCTTACGACTTTGGGTTACATGTTGACGAAAATCACGAAAGCCTCCCACGGTTAGACTGACGAGAAGGGGACTCCAACTCATGGTCCGTCTACCGCTGAGGATATTTTACGTCAGCACTGTGGTTGGTGCGAGCCGGGTGTGGAATTCGTAGCCATTTCTGGCCCTCGTAGCCAGCCATGTAACATTTGAAATTTTTCGGTTTTTCTGCAATAAAATATTACCGGCATAAAAAAAGAGTGACGATGACTATTCAGGGTTATCGAAACACGAGCACTTTATGACAGAACAATGTGTTTTGATAAAGTAAAGCATTCCCTTAAGAACCCAATGCAGATCAGGGAGTAATGGAGGTTAAGGCTTCGCAATTTTTTTACCAACGGCTAATTGTGGCAATGTAGTTAACATCGCTCACGAACCGCGTTTACTTCCCAGACAACCTGGTATCCATCGACTTGAAGATTGGTAAGATTCAAGCCGCCATTGGGAGTCGAACCCCAGTTTTACAGAATGAGAGTTCAGTGCCTTAGCGACTGAGCCACCACGACTCCAAAGCGTTTTCATAGTTTAGAAATAATTGAGAAAGCTTGATTGGAAGTATTGCTCAAGTATGAAAGCGCATTATTCTGTGTTCAGAATCCTGAACCTACAGCTAGCTGTTCTACATTTAAAGCAATACCTAGTTTGATCTCTATTGATGGCTGATCAATTCAAATATAGCTGTCACCTTGTCCACACTTCAGTAATAACGTGACGTGTTCCGCGGATCTTCAGACAGAGTCGTCGAAATAACCATGATAACTTCCCACTATGAAGTTATCATGGTTTTCCACTCCATATCAAGCAGAACCGCGTTCGTTTTCAACAAAAGTAGCGTGTCTACTACTAGAAAATTCAAATTCACTAGTATATATGACATGTTAACTCGATTCTGCAATGGGGTATCTTTTCATGGATGAAGGTTGACATTGTAGTTAACTACTATCCCCACATTGGTGACCTGGGCGTGATGTGAACACGCCTACCTTGACAAAACTCCCACTTCGATTTCAGCACGCTTACTTTGATGTATGGCCCACGTTGAACAGTTGACTTACTACTTTTTAAATCGACATTATCCAACTGCTCACGCTGTTGCTACTCAGTCTCGATCACACATAGCGTGCAGCGTACTCACTCGACTGATAAAGGCAACACAGGAGCAACCAAGACCGTGAACTTAATACAGCTCTCACTATCAGCACTCAAAATGTACGGCAATCTTAATACATCTCTCCGGTTTCTCACAAATCAGCAATGAATCAACTAGTGGTGTTCATTCATCGATTTCTATCACAGCTGGTGGGGGAGTACTGTAGTGTGTCTACCACTACGAAATTCAAATTCACTAGTATATATGACATGTTAACTCGATTCTACTATGGGGTAGCTTTTCATGGATGAAGGTTGACATGGCCGATAACTACACTCCCCACAAGTCCTTAATGGAGATGAGTTTGCCACAATTTATGACGTAGAAGTTCAATAGTCTTCTGAGTAGGGATTGAAATTGTGCAATGTTGAACATAAATTACCGATTATCCGATCTGTATTGACTTTTAACCGACGATAATAAAATAAAATGTTGAGGTTTACTTTGGTCATGTAATGTGTCATTTTGGTAAAATACGATTATCGAATAAGATGATCATGCAATTCAGCATGTATAGTGCGTTTTTTAAAGTTTAGGTGTAAAAATAAGTCGGAAGTAGTAATCCAGAAGTCTTACGACGAATTTTAACCCCTGATGCGCTTAGCTTTATACAGTCAATCAACCTACTGCGATGGCTCAGGGAATAGAGCGTTCGGCTTACTATGAAGCGAACCGGGTTCAAATCCCAGTCGATACGAATTCCGCATCCGGCTTGTACCGACCACAGATCTGACGTGAAATGTCCTCAGTGGTAGACGGATCATGGGTTAGAGTCCCCTTGCCGTCAGGCTAACCGTGGGAGGTTCTCGTGGTTTTCCTGTTCATGTAACGCAAATGCGGGTTAGCTCCATCCAAAAGTCCTCCACGAAGGCAAATTTCCCCCAATTCTTAATCCAGGAGTTCCCTTGTCTTTTAGATTGGGTTCAAATTACAAGGATACCGAGTTGAACATTAGTAGTCGTATACTTATAAAATTGGGTCGGTTGTTCAACGACAGTTATAATATAAAATAAAATGAACCATCCATGCGGCCGGGATAGTCTGGTTGGTAGGGCACTGGGCACATGTCCAAGAGGGCGTGGGTTCGATCCTCGCTGGTCGAAGTGAATTGAATTGAATTGAATGTAAG